ATTTTTAAACGCTACATGATTTTAATATTGAAAGCTAAATGTGAACTATTTCTTATACCCATTTATCTAACAAAGATGAGAAAATGAAAGATCGGAAGTAACTCTTCCAAACAAGCTGGAGACCGCTTACTTTTTGTGAGTAAGTGTAGACTATTTGTGCGTTTACTACCTATGTCTGTCTGTGTCCAAAAAAATTTGCAGGTTACTGTCAAGGCTGGACAGGTATTCCATCTTACTTACTCTAGACTGAACAAATAAATGGTTCAAGGCTGCGATAGCTACCCTTCCTCCTCTGTCTTGGATTCGTATGCTGAGTTCTCAGATTTGCAAATGGACGTCCGGCCAGAGCTGTTCTGTTTTGAGTCAGTTAACTGTGTGGAAATTGTTTTCAGATATTCGGTGCTGGGTCTGTCTCCACACACGTCCTCATTGAGTGCCTGTCTGTCTCCCACAGCTTCAGACTTAAGCCAGGAATCCCGGCTCCCACTAGCATTTTCCCAGATGATTGAAAGTCTGGGCTCTGTAGTTGGACAGGACTGGGTACAAATCTTTGAGTTCTAAGACTCTGGGCAAGTGTCTTAACTTCTCTAAATCTCAGTTTTCTCCCTAGTTAGCCTGATGTGAGAATTAAACAGGACTGTGCATGTGAAGTGGATGGAAAAAGTCAGCCATAATAATGCTCAATAAGGATTGGCCTTCTGGGCCCAGCAGGTGGCATGATGGTTAAGGCACTGGATACCATTTGGCCAACTCTGTGGATCTAGTCCTGGACATGGCAGCTTGACAATCACACCAGGCACCTGTGTATGTGTGCCCAGGATCTCGAGATGGGAATGGAGGAGAAAGGATTGCTGCATGGCCATCCCCCCTGGGGAGGAAGGGAGGACGGTACCTGAGTTGCCTGTGTAGGTTACGGGATTCAGCATCACGTCGTTCTGCACTTGGAGCCTGTGTTCTTTTTGATAATGTCAGGTTGACCCCCAAATCGTAGCAAGAGGGAAGAGCCCAGTGTTTCTTGGAGAACATGAGTCAGGATAGTTTGACAAAGATACTTTTGTATAGGAAAGTAGAAAGGAGCAGAATGGGAAAATGACTTAGAACCACAAAAAATTGTGGAGTATGAACCAGAAGATAGTTGAATGACCCCTAGTTCTGGGATGAAGGTAACACACAAACCCAGACTCTAATAAAAGTTCACCACTGGGGCCAGCAGTGGCATGGTGGTTAAGGTGCTGGACTCCCACATGAATGACTACAGTTTGAGTTGTGGATCTGGCAGCTTGCTTTCTGACTTTCCCTTCCTCTGTCTTTGTCTCTCTAGTCAAATTTAAAATAATTAATTAATTAAATTATAATAAGTAATAATTAATTAAATTAATAATTCTTTTTTGAAAAAAAAAGTCACCATTTATTCTTCCACCACTTTCCTACCTTTATTTATTCTATTCTTCCTCTCTTCACCTTTAAAGAAAAATATATTAAAATTCATAATAGAGCATGTGTGCAAATGAGAGAGAGAGAGAACACCTTCCACAGGGTCATGCCATGACCCCTTCCTGCAGTTCTCCAGTCCGCCAGGGTCCTTGGCAGTGTGCCTATGCCCGGCATGTTTTCAGGCTGAACACCGCAGGGACTAGAACTGGGTCAGCACGTGGCTTCTGGCTCTGCAGTCCTGTACGGTACTGACTGCACCACAGAACCTGGGCCATTCTTATATCTTTCTTAGTGAAGTGTTTAAAACACACAGAAAAGCACACCACAGAACTGTAATGAACCCCGTGTGTGCGTAACCCTCCCTGGCTAGCCATATGTGGGCCACATTCCCATTCTCTTGTGTAAGTTTGAAGAGATTCTAGACATTAGTCATTTTTCCTCATCAATACTGCAGTACATATCTCCTAACTGATCACTAAAACTTTTTAAGAATTATTTATTTATTTTATCATTATTTTTTACCTTGCTACAAGTCACATGTACTCGCTGGAGAGAAGGAAAATGAGGAAGCAAGCTGCCAGGTGCAGGACTCCAACCACAGTCAGCCATTACGGAGTCCAGAGCCTTAACCCCCATTCCACCTGCTGGCGCCCACCCCTCCTTTTTTTTTTAGAGAGAAGCTTTTGCTATAGGACACGTTTGATCGCCCAAGAGACAGCGAGAAATCACCCCTGGGGGGAATGGCCATGCCACACCCCCTTCTCTTCCATTCTCCTCTCGGGATTTGGGCATGCATGTACACACATGCACATGGTGTGAGTTTTTTTTTTCTCTTTAAATTTATTTATTTTTTACATTAATTCACTATACATCATTACAGCATATTAGGATCTTGGGCACGTATGCATACATGCCTAGTGTGAGTTTAAGCTACCAGGTCCAGGACTCGAACTGTGGTTGCTACGTGGGAATCCGCCAACACAGCTATTACGCCATCTGCTGGTCCCCAGTTACTCATTTTAAACATCAATACTTTTATTATCATTATTAATCTCATTGAATATCTAGCTAGTGTTCAAATTTCTGGTTGCCTTATAAGAATCATAGCTTTTTGGGACTAGCAGTTGGTGTAATGGCTATGTTGCTGGCCTCCCATGTAGTTGACCATAGTTCGAGTCCCAGACTCGGTGGCTTGAACTCACACTGGGTGCGTGTGCGTGCATGCCAAAGATCCCGAGAGGAGAATGGAGGGGAAGGGATTGCTGTGTGGCCATCCCCCCTGGGGGGTGTTTTCTCACTTTCTGTCTCTCTGTCTCTGTCTTTCTGGTGAGCACACATGCCCCATAGCAAAAACTTCTCCAAAAAAAAAAAAAGAATCATAGCTTTTTTAGAAAGACTTATTAATTTGTTTTATTTATTATTATCATTTAAAGATTTATTTCTTTAATTTTATTTGTTATTATTATTTATCTTTTAATTTGACCAGAGGGAGACAGAGAGAGAGAGAGAGAGAGAAAGTGAGCCATCAAGTCTGGGACTTGAACCACAATTGGGCATGTGGGAGTCCAGCGCCTCTAACCACCATGTTACCTGCCAACCCCAATTTTATTAATTATTATTATTATTATTTAATTTTTGCTATAGGTCTTGTGTGTCCACCAGAGAGAGAGGGAAAAGAGAGAGAGAGAGAGGGGCAGTGAGAAATCAAGCCACCTACTTAGTTCACGTATTGTGGAATCTGAGCTTGACAGCGTGAAGTGCTCTGCAGCTCTAAGAGCAAGTCTCCCAGAACTGAAGCTTTTAGAATATTTAGTAGAAAAGGGAGACGCCATTAATACTCAGATTTCACCTTGCTATGAGAGTCTTAACAAACCATTTCCCAGCTAAAGGCGCTTTTTTCTTGAGGATTGTGACTCCGGATACTTTAAGAACACCCAAACCCCTCAGGGGAGTAAGAGGCTGTCTCAAGGCCTCTTTTAGAGCAGATCTGGAATTGAACTTGATGGATCTTTAGTGGAAATTGTGAGGACTAATTAAGAACCTGGAAACTTGGGTGGTAGGCTATTTCTAGAGAGTATAAATACATACGATTGATTGCTTTGTGACTAGAAGAAGGTTCGTGAGTGCTTGCTAGGCTGTTTCTCGCACACGCTCTTTACTGGACCTATCGGTCCAAGCATTCTAAGTTGTGAATCTTGTCTCTGAGTGCTGTCTAGGTAGCGCTACTGAGCCAATGGGTCTGAGGATGCCACCTGAGGGCTTTCTCTAGACATCCTGTTTGGTGAGAGGGACTCTCCCAATACCAGTTCATTAGCCATTATAAAACAGGAGGTAAAAACATACAAACCACATCCAGAATATACTCTGTCAGAGCAGAGTTTCACCTCTGTAGATGAAAGACAGGGTTTTTTTTTGAAAGCCCGACTAATAAAAAAGCTATTATACTAGATCTTAGGACATTTCCACTCAAGATGCTATTTTGGAGAGCCCTGATCTTTGGAATTTTATCTCCTATTTCCTAATTAGCAAGGTCTTTATTAGAACGGTAGTATTTAGAGTTCGGCCGTTTTTTGATATGCACATTTTACTCTAATGAAATCAGTTATGAAAATTTCATAAGTGAGCTCACAGTGGTATACTATTTATATATATATCACCTGAGATTTCTAAAAACAGCACTGTATCCTATTTTTACCAGTCTAGATCAAATTCCTGAGAATTCACATCACAGACTTATTCTCTCAACCCAATATAGTAAAAGTCTTCCCACAAGTAACTAAGTAAGTTCCAAAAGAGATCCCTCAGTGACTCCATTCAATTAATTACGGAGCATATAGGGAATTGAAAATTCAAGTAAGTGTGAATGGAGGCCATGTGGATCTCATTTTGTCTTATAAGTGCTCATAATACCTCATATCTCACAAGGATTTAAAAAAGTATACTTTTTATGAAGCACTTAGAGTTCCCTAGAGGAAAATTAAACAGTGTAAAATGTTACTAGTTTATACTATTCTGTCCTGTTCATCTACCTTACATTTAAACATCTCTGACTAGTTATTGTGTGTGTTAGGGTTTTGTTTTGTTTTTAAGAATTATTTAATTTTATTAACTGTCTTTTTTTTTTTTTTTTGAGGTTGACCAGAGAGAGACAGAGAGAGAGAAGGAAAGTGTTAGTTTGAGCTTTTTATAAAAGTGCATCTTATAACAATGTCAGTAATAATTACAAAACTTTAAAATCTACATATTTATTATTATTATTATTATTATTATTATTATTATTATTATTTTGGAGAGATTTTTGCTATTGGGGGCGTGCACTCGCCAGAAAGAAACAGAGAGCAAGAAATCATCCCCCGGGGGGAATGGCCACACCACAATCGCTTCTCCTCCATTCTCCTCTCGGGATCTTGGGGCATGCACACACACACGCATGATGTGAGTTTAAGTTACTGGGTCCAGGACTCAAACTGCGGTCGACTACATAGGAGTCCACCAACCTAGTCATTACACTATCTGCTGGTCCCCATATTTTGCTTTTCTAAAAAGAAACCTTTCTTCCCTTTCAGGAAACAAATATACTCTAGAGACTAGACCAAATCAAGAAGGCATTGATGTGAGACAAGAGCTGCTGAAATTCCATTCTACTTATTACTCATCCAATTTAATGGCTATTTGTGTTTTAGGTCGAGGTAAGAACCTTTAATTTTTCCTAGAACTGCATAACATAAGTTTTCTATGTTGACCTTTTTAAAGGATTAGAAGAAGGATACAAGACAAAGCTATGTATGTGCTCGGTCTTTTGAAAATAATGCACTTTTTGTCCAGTATACGGGTGGATGTGGGTTTTTTGTTTATTTGGCCTAGGGTATGTGTGCTCACTGGAGAGAGAGAGAGACAGAGATAGAGAAGGATAAAGTGAGAAATAACCCACTGGAGGGTGGCCACAGTACAGTCCCTTTTCCTCCATTCTTCTCTTGGGATTTTGGGCATGTATGCACACACACCTAGCATGATTTTCAAGCTGCCAGGTCCAGGACTTGAACCATGAAGTCAGCCAAATGGGATCCAGTGCCTTAACTTTGACACCACATGCCAGCCCTGGGATTCTGCTTCCTTAACCACCATGCTATGGGACCAGCCTTCAGTTGTCATTTTTTTTTTATAAATTTCAGATTTTTCTTTTAATAGTTCTGAGACTTTTCAAGACTAAGGTCTTAAATGTTATCTGTGGAATGTTACAATCAGTTTATGTTCTGTTTTCATTGTCTGTTTTCTGTAGAATCTTTAGATGATCTGACTGATCTGGTGGTCAAGTTATTTTCTGAAGTAGAGAACAAAAATGTCCCATTGCCAGAATTTCCTGAACACCCTTTCCAAGAGGAACATCTTAGAGTAAGTGCATGTGTTTCTGGTATGTTTTTTCTCTAATTTACAGACAAAATATATCTCTAGTTTATGAGAGAATAAATGAAACATTTTGGTGGTACCATTATTTATGTCGTTTTTAGTATTTCTTAGGATAACCAAATCAGTTTCACATCTGTTAGAAACATTTATCACCTCCTCCCAAAATCGATATGTGCTGATGTTTGCATGCTGAAAGTAGTCCTGGCGATCTCTGCTCTAAACCCCATCATCCAGACCCCAGAAAAGCTCAGACAGAAGCCATTTCAGTCTGAGGTGTGTCCTGCCGTGTTAAGGGACCAAGGTGACTGAATCTCTGCTTTAAATTCCATCTTCCAGACCCCAAAAAAGCTCAGACAGAATATTCATTCAGAATATTCATAGTGACAAAACTAAACGGGATGCAAGAAATGAAAGGCAGCTCCAGAAGATGCAAGAGAAAAGAGACAGTGAGTTCCAGGTGAGGAAGTTCTTTCACGATTTGAGAGAAGAAATACACGCCATAAAAAAAGAATCAAACATAGCTGTTAGAGATGAAAGCTGTAATACAAGAAACCAAAACCTCTCTCAAAAGTATTAAAAACAGCTTAGACCATGCAGAAGATCAAATCTCAGATGTCAAAGGCAAAACCTCTGACCTAGAAAAAAATCACCAAAAAAAACTGAGAAAATAACCCCCCAAAAATGAGCATAATATACGAGAAATACTAGATACCATTAAGCGCCCAAACATCTAGATAATCAGTATCCCAGAAGGTGAAGAAACTAGTAAGGACATTGGTAATCTATTCCATGACATCCTGGAAGAAAACTTTCCAAACCGAGAGAGACATTCTAATACACAAACCCAAGAAGTAAAAAGGACCCCCACATAGAATCAACCCAAGAAGATCTTCTCCAAGGCACATCATAGCCAGATTGGCCAAATCCATAGACAGAAACAAGATACTAAAATTGGGAAGAGAGAAATGTCCAGTCACTTACAAAGTTTATTTTATCAGACTAACATCAGATCTCATTGGAATGGTGTGAGCAAGGAAAGAATGGAAAAACATATTCAAAGCGTTAAAGGAAAAACAGTTTCAACCAAGAATACTATACCTGGCAAGATTGGGAATGAAAGATAAAAACATTCTCAGATAATCAAAACCTGAAAGAATTTACCAACACTAGGCCAGCTCTTCAAGAAATTCTGAAAGGAATGCTTTACCAGGAAAACTAAAGACACAAATACAGAAATGAGAGAACAAAGACCAACCAGGAAAATGCTAAGGACGGATCTGGCAATATTGATAATTGTTCAGTGGTAACTTCCAGGATTTAAATGGTAAGATTGGAGCACAGTAACACTGCACATTCAACAGAAGAGAGATTAATTACATAAGACTGAACTGGCGAAATAGAATTTTGTGACTTTTGACTAAAAAAAGTACTGATTTTTTTTTTTAACTACACTTTGTCTTTTAGATTTACAGATTTTGCTTTCACTTTCTTTTGAGCTGTTGATAGGTTCAACAATCTGTTAAATTTTTTTTTCTTTGCTTGATAGTTTTTTAAAAATTGAAACATAAACTTTTCTCCCTTCCTGACTCCTCTGGAATTGGGAAGTATTCGTGAGTACTCTTATTTTGTGGCAGAAGGGTTATTTGCTTAAGTTCAGTTGTTCCTATTGCCTTGCATCAGAAATTGGAAATACTCGTTATTGCCAGAGCTTGGACCGGAATGCCATATCTGAAGATAGGACCAGAAAACTAAGCAACTAAGGTAGATCTCTCAAGAAAGCCAACCGAAGCTCTTGGAAAGATTGCCTGGCACCATAAACAGTTCTGCCTGGCAGAGAGGATTAGAGAAGCCATGTGAAAGAATTTGTACCATAAAATAAGCTAGACTTTTCCAGCCCAGCATTGTAGCCAGTAGTTTGCAGAAGAGCAGCCTCAACCACAGGATTACCTTGAGGAAGACTTTGAAGGGAGAAAAGAGGGGCTGATCTTTGCTGGCAGGTGGTTAACCACAGAGTACTTGGTAGGCAGAACTGCGTTGGGAAGGTTCATGCATGAAAATGTGTGCTGGATATTTGCTTCTCAAGAGTTTTAGTAGTTGACATGTAAATATTTTCTCAAAAGTATTGAAGATCATACTATCTCTGTTATTATAGAGTCACAAACAAAATTATAACAAATATTTGGAAAATTGAAAAAAAAAAAAAAAAGTAGTCTGGGCGTGGTTCCCTGGCAGACTGGAAGCTGTCATCCAGGGCCAGAGGCAGACATACAAGCCATTTAGCTGCAGCTCTAAGCCGTGGACTGCACCTGCACCAACCGTAGCAAAATTCCAGTAAGACAGAGCCCAGGTTGTTTCTTCCTTTGTTTTCAGCATTATTTTTTCTGGTAATTAGTTTGCTCCTAAATTTGGGATCCTACCATGAAAGTCAGCATTCTTCGTGGTTTATAAATATGTCATTCTGTAGGAACTGTATATAGCTAATCTTGTGTGATTTTTTTCTCCCACTCTAGCAACTTTACAAAATCGTGCCCATTAAGGATATTAGGAATCTTTATGTGACATTTCCAATACCTGACCTTCAGAAATACTACAAGTCAAATCCTGGTCATTATCTTGGTCATCTTATTGGGCATGAAGGTCCTGGAAGTCTGTTATCAGAACTTAAATCCAAGGGTAAGCCTTTTGGGCAGGAGCTTCTGAATGTAGAACCCACCAAATCTTTTCACTCTCATTCTCATTTTTTCCTAAATGTTTTCCTGTGAAGGAACAGTTTTGCATGAGACGGTTTTGTGTTAGTGAGCGATGGTAGTGATCGTTAGTTTGCTTTTATTTTTCATCGTGTGTGTGTTTTCCATAGTTTGTTTATTGTTTTTAACTTGCCAGAGGGCTGTGTGTATGCCAGAGAAAGAGACAGAGAGAGAAAGCAAGAAAGCAGCCCCATGGGGCATGGTTACACCACAGTCCCTTCTCCTGCATTTCCCCCTCCTGTTGGGATTTCGGGCATGCATGCACGTGTGCCCAGAATGTTTTTCAAGCCACAAGGTCTAGGACCAATATTCAAACCACGTATTCAGCCGAGTGGGATCCAGCTGCCTTAACCACCACACCATGGACTGGCCCTTCATGATTTGTTGTATCATTGAATATTGAGCAGAGAAGTTTAGATTTTCCAAAAGTTATCATAGTGCATTATTTTACATGAGAAAGAGGTTAAAAAGTAAAAGCCACCTTGGATATTCCTTACCATCTCTGTAAAATGTCAGTACATGGTGTTTATTTGCCTGTTCTTACCCCTCAGATCAAAAGGGTATAATAGGACTTAGTAGATGATGGCCAGGACCCCTCCCGACTCATACTCTGCATTTACAGACTTGGTAGTCAACTTGTGCTTGGGGATTGATTTAGGAATCTTGGTTCGTTTTTTCTTAGATAGAGAGATTTTTGCTCTAGGGCACGTGCACTCGCTGGAGAGACAGAGAGAGGCAGAAGTGAGAAATCACCCTCACTCCTGACTCTTGCCCTGGGAGGATGGCCACACCACAGTCCCTTCTCCACTCTCCTCTTGGGATTTTGGGAATGCTTGTGCCCAGCATGAGTTTCCTTTTTTTTGTTAAGTTACCAGGTCTGGGACTCAAAACCACCGCCTACTATGTGGAAGTCCAGCAGCATAACCATTATGTCATCTGCTGGTCCCTGATTTAGGAATCTTGAGGAAAATCCCCAACCCCAGAAATCCCTTCCGTAGTATCTGAAACTGTGTGTGTTTGTGTGCGTGTGTGTGTGTGTGTGTGTGTGAGAGAGAGAGAGAGAAAATGCGTGTGTGTTTTCTGTAATAGGTCCATTGTAATCTCTTGAGAGCATATAGTATGAACTTTTTAAAAATTTCCTTGTCAGGGCTGGCAGGTGGTGTGGTAGTTAAGGGTGCTGGATACTCACATAGCCTACTGCAGTTCGAGTCCTAGACCTGGCGGCTTGCTTTCTCTCTCTCCCCCGCTCTTTCTTTTCCCTGTGCATGTTGTGCTTCTCTCTGGTCAAATTTTAAAAATAAATAAAATTAAATGAAATAATTCTTAAAAAAAAAAATTGCCTTGACTTGAATGAAGCCATGGAATCATGTTGGTTTTCTTTGACTGTTGCAGGCTGGGTAAATACTCTTGTTGGTGGGCAAAAGGAAGGAGCCCGCGGTTTTATGTTTTTTATCATTAATGTGGACTTGACTGAGGAAGGATTATGTAAGTATTCATTGACCTTTCTGCTTTTGAAAGAAAATCGACTTCCTATGATTGACTTTTTTAACTGCTTTATGCTGTGGATCTGTTTTATGTTGAAAAGCTGTGAGCACTTTAATTCTTAAACTTGCCCATTGCATTTTTCACACGTAACTTGGCCTTTGTTTCACGGATGATTTCCCCCCCTTAACAACCGATCATTATGTCACACTTGTGAAGTGTGTGCCTGACTGTCCATGCGCTCATCTCCTGCCCCGGCACCCTTCCGTCACACACCCCTGAGCCTAGAGGGCCGTGCGTGGGACACCTAAAACCAGTTTCAGGGACGTGAGGACTCCATTTTCTAAGAGGGACCATCTTCCACTTACCTGACTTTATCTTAGGAGTGAGCTCACTGCTTTGAAGGATCCGAGGACTGAATGGTTTTTAAGTGTGCCCCTTTTTTCCAGTACATGTTGAAGATATAATTTTGCACATGTTTCAATACATTCAGAAGTTACGTGCAGAAGGACCTCAAGAATGGGTTTTCCAAGAGTGCAAGGTACTTTTGTTTCACCAACATTTTTCTTAAGGAATCTATTTTTCAAAAGCAAATATATGTGAATTAGTTTAAAGCCCCAGTTTAACTTAAAGTTTTAAAATTTTTTTCCTAATTAAACTCTAGAATTTTACAGTGTGTAGTAGTGTTAGTTAAGACTTAGTTCGACTAGTTTGATTGGCTACTTGGGGCACAGTGAAGGGTTAAGGCATCATTGGAGCCTTTTTTAGGAGGGACAGGGAAGGAATCAGGTTGCTTTTCCATCCCTCAGGAGAAATTCTATCAGGGCTTTTGTTACTCTCAGTCTGAAGCTGAATGAGCACTGTCATTTTCAGATCTGATGGTAAAAATCTTCAGCAACTCAAAGATACAGTGAAGTGCTTTATGTATGATTGTGTTCATATGAGTGATCTTATTATTCTATGAATGGGAAGACTGACTGGATTTTTTGTTTTGTTTTGTTTTGCATAAACAAAAGGTGTTTGTCTTTTGAGTTTTTAAAGGCTTCTTTTAATGAGGTATTTAAAAATATATACTTTATGGGGCCAGCAGGTGGCATGGTGGTTAAGGGTGTTGGACTCCCGCATGGCCAACTGCAGTTTGAGTCTCAGACCTGGCGGCTTGCTTTCTCACTTTCCCTCCCTCTCTGGAGCTCTGTCCCTCTCCGGTCAAATTACTTATAAATAGATAGATAAACAGACAAATAAATAGATAAGTAAATAAAAATTCAATAAAATAACTCTTTAAAAAATACGTACTTTACATTTAAGGTCTATTAAAGATTCCGAAATATATTTTAGGATGAGAAACATAAAATTTGAAAGGAATAAACTCTGTTAGTAAAAATTATAACAATAACTGGAGTTCTCTGAATGGGTCACCAAAATCTCCTCCTATGGATTTTTTTTTTTTTTTTTTTTTTAATAAGGGACCAGTAGTTGGCGTAATGTCTATGTTGCTGGACTCCCATGTAGTCAACCGCAGTTCGAGTCTCAGACCAGGTGGCTAAAACTGACAATGGGCATGTGTGTGTGTGTGCCCATGATCCCAAGAGGAGAATGGAGGAGAAGGGATTGCGGCGTGGCCATCCCCCCGGGGGGTGATTTCTCACTTTCTGTCTCTCTCTGTCTTTCTGGCGAGCACATCCGCCTTATAGCAAAAACCTCTTCCAAAACAAATAATAATAATAATGATTATTTTTATTATTTTAACTTTATTTATTTTAATTTGACCAGAGAGGGACAGAGTGAGAGAGAGGGAAAGTGAAAAAAAACAAGCCACCAGGTGTGGGATCCGAATTGTGGTTAGCCATGTGGGAGTCTAGCGCCTGCCCCTATGGAATTGTTAATCTCACAAAGTTCTTCCACAATTTTTCCAATTCTTTAAGGTTTTTTTTTTTTTTTTTTTTTTTGAGAGATTTTCACTGTAGGGGGCGTGCGCTCGCCAGACAGACAGAGAGAGACATAGAGACAGAAAGCGAGAAATCACCCCCCCAGGGGGGATGGTCACGCCGCAATCCCTTCTCCTCCATTCTCCTCTCGGGATCTTGGGCATGCACGCACACGCGCCCGGCGTGAGTTTTAAGCCACCGGGTCCGGGACACGAACCACGGTCGACTACGTGGGAGTCCAGCGACATAGCCATTACGCTAACTGCTGGTTCCCGAATTCTTTAAGTTTTAACACTATAGTCTGTAGAATCATATTCAGTATTTGTTATTTTTATTCAGAATTATTTATTTGCTTTGGGTTTTAAGCCTAAGTTGATGGGTTAACTTAATACATGTTAAGAAATTTCTCTCTGTGTTTTATACTTTGCTAAATGAAGAATAGTCGTTTTTCAGGAGCATGATAAAATTAAATATGGAAATAGAAAGGATTAGGTTGTCGGGAAAATCATGCTGTATTTTTATGTCTTTCTACGCAAAAATGCATCATGACTTTCCCAACAACTCAGTATATAGCATAAACTGAATACTAAAAAACAAGTATTTCTAAGTAATAATTAATTTATCTAATTAGATTAACTTTATTTTTTTTTTTTTTTTTTTTAGGACTTGAATGCTGTTGCTTTTAGGTTTAAAGACAAAGAGAGGCCACGAGGCTACACATCTAAGATTGCAGGAATATTACATGTAAGTGTGTGGTTATTTTACCGTGTGCATTGGTGTGTGGGCTATTTCAGTGATCCTGCATCTAACAGTTTCAGTCCTACGTGAATGATGAATATCGGAGCTCTAGGATAAATGTTAGACTTCGGAGCAGTTGGGCAAATTTTGATGTCAAGATATGTTTAAAATTTTCATCATTCTGGAAATTGCTGTCTGTAATATTTTCATTACATAGGCGTTTTGCTTACTGGTTTAACTAGTTTTCAGTTCTGCGTGTGTCGAGTGCTCCGATGTGAGAGGCAGCACCATCTCACCTCTTCTCCGTGTCCATTGTACCGTCCCGGTCTGGACTGCCTCATTTCTTGCCTGGACCACCATCACAGCGTCTTACCTGGGGTCCTTATTTCCTTCTTGTCCCCTACTGTAGTTTATTTTTCCAGCCTCAGTGATCTTTTGGAAACTAAAGATCAGATGGTTTTACTCCTGCGTTTAAAGTCCTTCAGTGGGTTTCCGTCAGATCTGGCATAAAATCCAAAATTTGTCTTGGCCTCCAGGATGATCTGGCCTCACCTGTCTCTTTGGCCACAGTCCTACCACTCTCCAGCGTGCCTCTCCCATTCCCATTCCATTCCAGCTATGCTGGCTCTCTGTCTAATTTGTGTCTTCTTAGGGCTTGTGGTTTCTCTGCCTGGCACACTCTTCCCACTGATCTCTGCATGGCTAGGTTCCTCTTTCCCACTATCTCCATTCAGCTCTCTTATCCTCAGAGAGTGTCTCTTAGTCCTAGTCTAAAATAATGCCCTTGCCTCCGCTCCTTTTTTTGTTTTCTTCATAGTACTGGTGATTAAAATGACAGTATTTGTTTATTTTCTGCCTCTCTTTCAGTTAGACTATATGTCCCTGGAGGATTGAGACTTCATGTGTTTTATCTGCCATTGATCCACAGTACCTAGAACAGTGCCTGCCACAGAGTAGATGTTCAATAAATATTTGTTGAATGAATGAATCAGTCAGTCTATCTCAGTATATTGGAAGTTGCTTTTACTAAAAAGCATGTTCTTCATTAGTTTTTTTCTATACTAACCAAAAATATAAACCATTTTTCCCCCATTACAACTTGCCTGATTTTATTTAAAGGCATTTGAGAGGAAATTCTGTTTATAAAAATGTATGAACATTATATTAAAAATCCTATAGGGGTCAGCATTACACTATCAAATTTTATTCATTAACAAGCACTCAGTTTTTAATCAGAAATAGTAGTCGTGTTTTCCCCCGAAAGAAATGTGATTTTGCTCTCTGTCGTGTCTTGGGGATCATGATGTATTTGGCAGAATCATTGCATAACCCGAAACTGCTTCAAGATGTGGTAGAAAGAGAAAAGCTTCAGTATTGCAGGAATGTTTCCAGTGAAGTAAAATTTAATGGAAAGAATAAAGACGTTGTAAAGTAATGGATTCATTTTAGAGATCTTTAATTTGCTTTAATAAATTAAACTCTGTGGCAGCCTTACAAATTTTATTTACATATATCTTTCTTTTTAAAAGTATTATCCCCTAGAAGAAGTGCTCACAGCTGAATATTTACTGGAAGAATTTAGACCTGACTTAATCGAGATGGTTCTCGATAAACTCAGACCAGAAAATGTCCGGTGAGTCGCCCTGCACATTTTACTGTTGCATAACACATTTTCAGTAAGGATCAGAATCTGAAAATTTGAAATTGTGAAGAAACGGCTTTACCCTTTTTATCAAACATTACAAAAATAGGAACAATGTAATGAACCCAGCATCAGGCTTCACAATTAGTATATGAATAAGATATAATAAATCATCTTAACCTGTCCTCATTCTGATTCACACACTTAGACACTTAGGGTGTCAGCCCACCTGTTTGGCTTTTATAAATTCTTTTTTTTCTTTTTTTTTTTTTTTCGTAGAGAGATTTTTGCTATAGGACATGTGTGCTGGCCAGAGAGACAGAGAGAGACAGAAAACAAGAAATAATCTCCTGGGGGATGATGCCGCAGTCCCTTCTCCATTCGCCTCTTGGGATTTGGGGCATGCATGTACATCTACTGGTGTGAGTTTGAAGCCGCCAGGTCCAGGACTTAAACCGTGGCTGACTACATGGGAGTCCAGCGATGTAAACATTACCAGCTATCTGCTGGTCCCTCAGAATCCTTTAGTTTGACCACTGATTAATCAGAAAATCAAAAGTTGGAGCTCTTTTAATAGCAGAGGTATTCTTTCTAGAATAGGGTTGGCCCTAGCTGTTGGTGAGCTGTCACATGGTGATTCTGCCTTATAAGGGAATTTCATCTAATTTTAAAAATAATTATTTATATTATTTTATTTATTGTTACTATTTTAATTTGCTATAAGGCATGTGTGCTCACCAGAGAGAGAGCGAACGAGAGAGAGAAGGAGAAAGTGAGAAAGCAAGCCGCCAGGTCTGGGACTTGAACTACAGTTGGCCATGCGTGAGTCCAGCACCTTAACCTCCATGCCACTTGCTGGCCTCTCATCTATATTTTTTAGTATATGCCAGTTACAGTCTTTCATGAGAGAAAGACCATAATTGGCGTATGTCCTTTCTATCATCATTATAATTGGCATATTAGGTGGTTTTTGTTTTTAATCCTTCATTAGGCACTTATTTATAAAATTCAGTTGAAAACTTGGCAATGGAATAAATATGATTTTTGGAACAGTTATTTTATAAACAATCTGGTAGGACTTTTTGAAGAAGAAAAATCTCTTTAAGGTTTATTTCTTCATTTCTTCCACAAAACAGAGAGAGAGAAGGAGGCAGCCAGCGCCCCAGCAGGGTCCCCAGCCAATGCCCCATCGTGGGCACGCGTACCCAGTGTGTTTAGGGTAGTCGAGTGCAAACCCTGAACCCTCCCATGTGGATCAGCCTTGCAGTGCATTCTGGTACTGCCACCTCATGGTCTGGGCTCCAGAAAAAACTTTTTTTTTTTTTTTTTTTAAGTAAACTGTTCATTTGAAGTCTTTTTCCATTTACCATTGCTTGAAGCTTTCCAGATATATTATTAAAGACTCACGCCACCTATAACTGAATCTACATGACTTACACCGTACTGTTCATGTTGAGAACAATTAATGTATTGTTCAGCTGGGCTTGGCCTAGCTATTGTTACTCTTAAGTGGTTGATAAACTCTTGGGCATACATGCATAGATGTGCGATGTGAGTTTTAAGCTGCCAGGTCCAGGACTTGAATAGTGGTTGACCGTGTGGGAGTCCAGGAATGTAACTGTTACACCATTTGCTGGTCTCCCAAACTTTTTAAAACAGTAATACGTTTCCTTGGTTTTGTAGCATAAAAAATACATTAAAGCGGCCAGCAGGTGGTGTGGTGGTTAAGGCTCTGGACTCCTACATGGTCTCCACGGTTCAAGTCCCTGGCGGCTTGGAAAGTCACTCCAGGTGCATGTGCGTGTATGCATGCCCAAAATCCTGACAGGAGTGTGGAGAAGGGACTGTAGCATGGGCATCTCCCCCCACCCCCGGGTGATTTCTCTCTCTCTCTCCCCCCCTCCCTCTCAGATGAGTTCATACACCCTATGGCAAAAATCTACAACAAACAGAAAATATATTAAGGTTCAAAACTTAGAGATTTTCTCCAGTGATAATAACTTCTGAAATTATATAGAAATTAAATTTGTGGTTTTGCGTATTCGGTCACAATAAATCACAGTGTCTTTCACTCAGTTTCTTGCCAATATTTTAAGTCCATATTTGCCACCTAATCCTTAATTACTCAAGAATTATTTCATATGGGAAGTCTACTGAAAACTGGAGGAAATAACAGAAAGCTGTGAATTCATTAGAGATTGGTGAGCTGATCAATTTTCCTTTAATAGCAAGTGCTCCTCTTTAGCTCTAGATAATCTGTTTAAATACTGAGCAGGCCAGCCTCGGGGTGCAGTGGTTTAGCAGTGCGCATTGGGAACTAGGTCCCACACAGCTGCTGCTGTTGAAATCCCAGCCCCGGAAGCTTGAAACTGCGAGGCGTGTGGGCCAGAGTTCTGACAAAATGGAGAAATGGAGGATAAACGATTTCTGCATGACAACATCCCATTGGGGAGTACTTTCTTTTTCTTTCTGCATTGGGGGGGAGGAGTACTTTCTTTTTCTTTCTGGTGAGCATATATACCCTCTGGCAATTAAAAAAAAAAAATCAAGAATTAAAACAAACAAACAAACAAAAAAACCAGAAAATCTTTTCTTTCCCAATCAGTAATAGCAGAGAAAGTGGAAGGTTAAATAGTCATGTCATCTAATCTGTTAAGATAGTCAGGTTGGAGATGGGAGGTGCAGTTTATGTCATTTAAAATTTAAAGTGGTGTGTGCACAGATGGCGTGGCGGGGTCTGTGGACTGTCCGAAGGACTCTATGCTTGACTCCCCTTCAAAATGTAGACTAAACGAACTCAGTGCAGTCGCAGGTTATGAGATGAATATGTAACAGTCCATTGAATTGCAGCGTGACCCGTCCCCAGAGCGGTTGCTTTCTCTCTCCCTCTCTCTGTTTCTTTGGCAAGTGCATATGGCCTCTAGTACCAAAAAAAAAAAAAAAAAAAAAAAAGAAGAAGAAGAAGCAGCCAATTAAATTTTCTAAGCCTCGTTCATTCTTTAAAAAGCCCTTTTTAGGAACCAGCAGGTGGCATAATGGTTATGTCCCTAGACTCCCACGTAGTTGACCGTAGTTTGAGTCCCAGACCTGGCAGCTTAAAACTCAAGCTGGGCGCATGTTTGTGCGTGCCCAAAATCCTGGGAGGAGAATGGAGGAGAAGAGATGGCAGCGTGGCCCTCCCCCTAGTGATTTCTCTGTCTCTTTGGCAAGTATATGCACCCTATAGCAAAAATCTCAAAAGAAAAGAAAAAGAAAACCCTTTTTTAAAAATGGCTTTTGAGACCAGCAGTTAGTGTAATGGCTACGTCACTGGACTCCCATGTAGTCGACTGCGGTTCAAGTCTCAGACCCAATGGCTTAAACTCATGCTGGGCGCGTGTGCGTGTGTGCCCAAGATCCTGAGAGGAGAAGGGATTACAGCATGGCCATCCCCCCTGGGGGGTGATTTCTCGTTTTCTGTCTCTCTGGTGACTTACCCTTTTCTCCTAATTCAAGTGTTCCTCCCTGGACGTCTACACCCTGGGTCATAGATTCTGGTTGGGATGACGTGTATGTACTCTGTTTCTGCTCTGAATGCATTTCCCACCTTTATGCTTTATTACGTATCCTTCCATTTTATATTTCACTTAAAAATATTTATTTACTTATTTATTTATTTAGTTAGTTCCATTTGTTGTTTGTTTGTTTTGTTTTGTTTTGTTTTGTTTGGAGAGGCTTTTGCTATAGGGCACGTGCGCTCACCAGTCAGAGGCATAGAGACAGAAAGCGAGAAATCACCCCCCAGGGGGGATGGCCATGCCGCAATCCCTTCTCCTCCATTCTCCTCTCGGGATCTTGGGCACGCACGCACATGCGCCTGGCGTGAGTTTTAGTTCAGGTCCGGGACACGAACCACGGTCGACTACATGGGAGTCCAGCAACAGCCATTACGCTAATTGTTGGTCCCCATTTGCTGTTATTTCTTAATATGACCAGAGAGAGAGAAAGGTAAAGTGAGAAAGCAAGCTTCCAGGTCTGGGACCCGAACCACAGTCAGCCATGTGGGAGTCCAACACCCCTAGCCACTATGCCACCTGCTGGCCCCTGTATTTCACTCTTTATTTTCTTGATGATCTCTAACTTTTTGTCTGCAAAGGTACCTCCTCTTGTTAGCCCAGATTCTGATACGTGCCTAGTTTGAGGAGCTATGTCTGTCTGCTTCATGTCTGCTTCCATGCTATGGGATGTTTCTGCTCAGTGTACTTTGGTATGTAACCATCTAAACCCACAGTACTGTTTCTGAGGAATCTCCTTTCTTTCCCATTTTTTAAATCCAAGCCTTACTGGACAGCTTCCAACGTCTGCTGCTCTGTGTCATGCAGTTGTCCTCTAGGATATCTGACTTGGCAACTTTCTCTGAGCCTTTTTACTTAATTTCTCCAAACTGGAGTTTATAGTCCTCTTGTTTCAGAGGGCAAGTCCCCTGCTAAATGCATGCTTCAGTCTTCACAACTCGTCATCAGTCCCTTGGCCATTATTCTGATGCCTGGGCTATCATCCAGGGAAACCAAATCACGTATGTAATGAATTCTTCCAAAATCAAGCATCTCATGGAAGTGGAAGTAGGAATACCACCTCTCTGCCAGGTTCTCTGCTTTGAGAGGTCCTGGAAACCAAGCCATTCATTCGCCAAGAAGTCGACAAGAGTGGGAGCAGTTTCTAGGGCGGAGTCTGAGTAGGCTTTGCCATGCGTTGACTGTCCTTACCAAGCATCACGCGCTCTTCACATGGCCGTGCGAGTTCTGCACTCTCTCTGCACATCCCTCGGAAGAGATTCTCGAACCACCAACAGGCATCACTTCCTCCTGGACGCGATAACGGAACTCTTTGACCTGCTCAGCCCTATGATTCCTCTCCTTGTGTCTGGGGAACATATTGCTCTCTTTCAGGATGTTTTCTGCTCCTGGTAGTGGTCAGTGGCAGGTAGGCCAGGTCATGAACGCCTGGGAGCTGGAAGTTTAGTCAGTTAGTCACTCACTGACGAGTGAGTCAGGTTCTTATGGTGTCTACTCATCAGGAGATGTGACCTGGTCCAATCAGTCAAGTAGAGTATTTTGCCTGAAATGAGTACAAAATAGACAGTGAAGTTGGGGAGATCGAGCAAGGGCGTTTGGAGCAGAGACTGGGGTTCTGAAAACGGATGAGTATTCAGTGGAGTACCCATTGCAACCGCTAGACTCCCAGCTCTGAGGCCAGCATTCAGAAGCTAAAGGTAAACCTCCCAGAGGGCAGGTTAGAACCAGGGGGGACAGACATGGCCCTAGTTAATTTGAATTGAGACATGGGGAAAAGTGGAACCAGTAACAGGACTGACTTCACACCAAGCCTTCCAGGCTAACTGGCTAGAATCCTTTGATCATAAGATTCACCGTAGAATCGGTCCCAGCCAAGGGTTGAGTCTGCTGGTGTGAGTGTAATGATCCCATCTGCCATAATGAAATGTTACCAGAGCAGAAATGCCCTTGAAATGTCCCACGGGGACAGCGTCCCGAGCGCCACTGGCACGGAGCTTTCTTTGTGCACTTGTCATTGGATGTTATTCTGCCTGCCTTCCCTCCTCGAACTCTGGCCTTCCCTCCTTGAACTCTGACCTTCCCTCCTCGAACTCTGTCCTTCCCTCCTTGAACTCTGGCCTTCCCTCCTTGAACTCTGACCTTCCCTCCTTGAACTCTGACCTTCCCTCCTTGAACTTCATTCTTTCATCTGACTTATCTTCTGGCTGTTCCTACTTTTCCATCAGAGAAACTTTTTTTAAAAAATAAAAAATTATGTTTATTTAACTTTATTATTATTTTAATATTTCAAAAGATAAAGAGGGAAAGGGAGAACGCAAGCCTTCAGATCCGGGACTCAAACCATAGATGACCATGTGGGAGTCCAGTGCCCCTAACCACCATACCACCTGCTGGCCCAAAGAAACTTATAATAAATCATAAGATGGTAATTTGTGATCTCATTCTCTTCTCCCCTAGCAGCAGGAAAGTCAAAGTATGTGTAGTCAAGATATATATGTATTAGTCTTCAAAAAGTTCACGAGAAAATATATATTTTGAAAATACTGTGCATGAATTTTCTTTTTTTTTTTTTGCATCAAAATAAGCACATACTTTAATTCTATTTTTCTGTGAACTAACTTTCTTTTTTAATGAGGGAGAGGGAGAGGGAGGGAGGGAATGGTACAGGTATTTTGACAGGGATTTGTCCGGCTGCAGTTCCTGCCTCCCAGTTATCGGTGATTACAGACTTGTACCACTGCTGCTATACCTGACTTCTTTTTTGGTAAGAGATTTTCGCTGTAGGGCACATGCGCTCACTAGAGAGACAGAAAGTGAGAAGTTACCCCTCCCAGGGGAGATAACCATACCACAGTCCCTTTTCCTGCATTCTCTCATGATCCTAGGCACGCACACACACATGCCTGGCATGAATTTTAAGCCGCCGGGTCCAGGATTCAAACCTGGGTTGACTACATGGGAGTTCAGAGACATACCATCTGTCGGTCCCATACCTGGCTTGTTTAGGTTGATCCAGGAACCAAACCTGGACCTCTCCAAGGGTCCCAGCCTCATTCAGGCAGGCCATACCACTTGTGTCTAACCACAGTCAGGCCTGTCGTTATATAAGGAGATTTTTAAAAGTTCATGGAGAAGTGGAATTAGATTACTTTGCACCAAAATATTTTGGTGCCAAAAAAGAAGAAAGGAAATGCACAGATAGTTTTTTTATGATATGCATTTTCTTTTGCTTTTTTTTTGAGAGAGGTTTTTGCTATAGAGTAGGTGCACCTCCCAGAAAGACAGAGACAGACAGTGTGAAATCACCCCCGGGGAGGATGGCCATGGCACAATCCCCTCTCCTCCATTCTCCTCTCAGGATCTTGGGCGCACATGCACATGCACCAGGCATGAGTTTTAAGCTACTGGGTCTGGGACTCAAACCCATGTTGACTACGTGGGAATTACCATTACGCCATCTGCTGGCCCCTTTTATGAACTTTTTGAAGATCCTGTTAATTTGATACTAGCCTCCAGCTTGAGAAAATAGAATATAAACTTAGAAAGTAATAATAAATTCTCTCTCTCTTTCTCTCTCTCTCTATACACACACACACACACACACATACACACACACATACATGTATATATGTGAAATATATTTTTTTAACTAGAGGGCATGTATGCTCACCAAGGTGGGAGAAAGCATCCTGTCTCGTGGGTGTGGTCATGCCACAATTCCTTCTCCTCCATTTCTCCATCCTCTTGGGATTTGGGACACATGCCACATGCATCCAGTGTGTTTTTTTTAAGTTACCAGGGCCTGGATTCTAACCGTGTGGTCAGCCATGTGGGATCTGGCTCCTTTAACCCCCAGGCCATGGGACCAGCCCAGAGTTGTTTTGGTATTTTGTGTGAGTATGTGTTTATAAGTTTATTTCTTCTGAGAGAGACAGTGAGATTAGCCCCTTCGCAGGGTCCTCCGGTGAGCCTGGCCTGCAGCCTCTCAGCCAGCCAGGATCACGCACACATGCATGCGCGTACCTGCTGTGTACTTTTTTAAGGACTGTTTTTCAGCTTACCTCTTTTCATTTTTTTCCTAGCTGCTACTGTTTTAAATTTTTAGTTATTAGTGTACCTAGAAGAATCTCTCCTGCAAACACTTTTTCACACTAAAAATAATGCACTATAATGAAAGGATGACAGAGACTGGTCAGAAACTTCTATGCGTGTATTGCCTGGGCGAACCCTTACGGGATATCTTAGGTCTGAAGAGGCCTAGTACATTCTTGGATATTGTTGACATTTTCATGAATCAGATTCCGCGAATTCACATGTACAGTATAAGTTTACAGGATTCTTTTTCTGTTTGTTTTTCCCATTTAACTCTAGGGTTGCTATAGTTTCCAAATCTTTTGAAGGAAAAACTGACCGCACGGAAGAGTGGTATGGAACCCAGTATAAACAGGAAGCTATACCAGACGAAGTCATCAAGGTAGGGTTAAGTACCCATAAATAGGCCTGCTATGTGCGGAACACACACGCACGTACTCACCTTAGGCCCACCAGCGCAGGCCCAGTGTGCCTGTACAGTCGCGAGAGAGTGACCGAGGACAGAGAGAGCTGCCGTTGGAGTCTTTGTATCGAGGAACTGGTGCTCTGTCCACCTGCTGCATATGTGGAACCAGCAGGGCTGTAAAGCAGACTCCTAGCCTCATGCAGTCAGAGCACTGAAAAACAGGGTCCCCAGAGCAGTCAGGACACCAGAAAAGGTGAGAAGAGATGCCGCAGTGAGCAGGAAAGGCCAGCAGGGCCCCAGAGCTCTCAGGCTGGCTGCAGACGCAGGCTGGGGCCATCTCTGGGAGTCACAACGTCTTCACTTTAGGAAGTGCTTACTTCATCTCATGTTACAGTGTTGCTGTTTTTGTCAGCTATAATTAGGGGAATGATGATTTGTTTTGAAAAAAGGTGTGTTTTACACAATATTTTGGGGCCTAAATTCATCACTTGTTAAGATTTTGCTTGTAAGTCTTGTCTACTTCTCTGATAATGTTCATTTCTCTTTTTTGGTTCTCATTGACTGTGTAACTTTAGGAGTTATTCCCTTGATTCATGGGAAGATACTAGAAAGCCTTTCTCTTTCTAGGCTGCAGTTAAACTGAGTTAATGGACACTTAAAAATGAACCTGAGTGATAACAGGACAGAGAGATGATAAGGAATTTAAGAAAGAAAATCATTACCGGTATTTCACAGATTCAAAAAACATAAAAAAAAAAATAATTAGCTATAGGGTGCGTATGCTCACTGGAGAGAGAGAGAGACAAAATAAGACAGCACCCCCCCCAGGGGGGAGGGAATGGCCACACCACGACTCCTTTTCCATTCTCTTCTTGGGGTTATTAGGCATACATGTACATGGAACTCTTCTTTTTTTGTTTGTTTGTTTCTTTGTTTTTTTTTTTTTTTTTAAGAGAGATTTTTGCTATAGGGTGCATGCACTCACCAGAGAGATAGAGAGAGAGAGATCACCCCCCACCAGGGGGATGGCCATGCCACAATCCATTCTCCTCTCGGGATTTTGGACCTGCATACATACACACCCAGTGTAAGTTCAAGCCATTGGGTCTAGGATTTGAACTGCTGTCAGCTATGTGGGAGTCTAGCATCTTAATCACTACACCACCTGCTGGCCCCGCTATCTATTTTTTTTTTTTTTTAGAGAGGTTTTTGCTATAGGGCTCGGGCGCTCGCCAGACATATAGAGAGAGACATAGAGACAGAAAGCGAGAAATCACCCCCCCAGTGGGGATGGCCACACCACAATCTCTTCTCCTCCATTCTCCTCTCGGGATCTTGGGCACACACGCACACGCACCCGGCATGAGTTTTAAGCTACCGGCGTGAGTTTAAGCCACCAGGTCCGGGACTCGAATCGTGGTTGACTACGTGGGAGTCCAGCGACACAGCCATTACGCTAACTGCTGGTCCCCGCTATCTTGTTTTTTAAAAAGCCTCCAGGGCCAGGACTCAAACTACATGTTGGCCATGTGGAATCCAGTCACCTTCACCACCACACCACCGGCTGGCCCTTCACAGGTCTGTGAGACATTCATGGAATAGAGGGAAAGCACTGCACCCTCTGGGCTGTGAAAATGCCCACCTTTGTAAGCTGTGAGGAAAGCTGATCTTCCATGAATTAGTGCTGGGACTGAGAGAATCTTAAAACGAAAGGGGACCAGCAGGTGGCATAATGGTTATGTTGCTGGACTCCCATGTAGTCGACCGTAGTTTTAGTCCTGGACCTGCACATGTGCCCAAAATCCTGAGGCGACCATAGGAGAAGGGATAGCCGTGTGGCCATCCCCACTGGGGGGTGATTTCTGTCTCTGTCTCTCCAAAGAGCACACATGCCCTATAGCAAAAATCTCTCTTAAAAAAAAAACACACACACACACACACAAGAGAGACCCCCCCTATGCATCATACTCTGACCATGACAAACCTACCCTTAGTGGGAATTTTTAAAAATTACCCAAGGGCACAAGAACATACCAGAGAGAGAAGGAGAGGGAGAAAGCACCTTCCAGTGGGACCTGATCCTGTGGCAGTCCCTTCTCCATTTGTCCATCCTGTCAGGATTTGGGACATGCATGTGCACATGCCCGGTGTGTATTTTAAGGCACTGGAACCAGGGTTTGAACCACAGTTGACTATGTGGGGTCCAGCTTCCCTTAACCACTAAGAAGATGCTGGGGTTTTGTTTTAAGAATTATTTATTTAATTTTATTTACTTACTATTTTTTAATTTGACCAGAGAGTGACAGAGAGAGGGGGAAAGTGAGAAAACAAGCTGCTAGGTCTGGGACTCGAACCACAGTCAGGTATGTGCGGGTCCAGCACCTTAACCACCACACCATCTGCCGGCCCCATGCTGGGAATTTTTTTAAAAACAAATTTATCTGGTAACTCAGCAGGGAAATTTCTTTATAGTGTTTCCTCTTTCCTGCTAGTCAGCCATTTCGGAACTCGAGCTGCTGCTAAAGTAACATGGCCAACATCTCCTGTCACAGCAGCAAAAGACCAATGTGGGAACCAGGCCGGAATCATAGAATCTACTAGACTGCGCCACACCAGCCAGGCACCAAATGACTGAACTCAGAATTATTAGTAGTTGGTAGCATTCAAAAATAGTAAGTCTTTAAATTAGAGTTCAGTACTCAATGAACTGTGGTCTGTCCCGTTGAGCTTTTTTCTTTTTTAAGAGAGGGACTTTTGCTATAGGGTGTGAGCATTCACTAGAGAGATAGAAAGTGAGAAATCACCCCCCAGGGGATTGGCCATGCCGCAATCCCTTCTCCTCCATTCTCCTCTCTGGATCTTGGGCATGCACGCACACACGCCCGATGTGAGTTTTAACCACTGGGTGTGGGACTTGAACTGCAGCTGACTACATGGGAGTCCAGCGACGTAACCATTATGTCATCTGCTGGTCCCCGCACTAAATTTGAAACAAGCTAGTAGAACAGATCCAACTTACAGTTGTGTTAATCTAGACTTTAAACCTCAACTTTGTTCTTAACCTTGTGTTCGAATTACTCATTCACTTGGAAGTTCACCTAGTCACCTGGGAGACGTGTGGCTAGGCCTTAAAAAAAATGCTAGAGTGAATGAAACCGCTTTTAGCCTCGCTTTTAGACCATAATGGAAGTTACTTAATGTAGCTAAAAGTAGAACCCTTCTGAAGTATGGGGGCATACCCTGTACAGATTATGCTGTCATTTTTTATTTTGATAGGTTTTTGCTGTAGGGCACGTGTACTCGCCAGAAAGACAGAGAGAGACAGAGAGACAGAAAGCGAGAAATCACCCCCCAGGGGGGATGGCCACACTGCAGTCCCTTCTCTTCCATTCTCCTTTCGAGATCTTGGGCATGCACGCACACACACCCAGTCAGTGTAAGTTTAAGCCACCAAGTCTGGGACTTGAACCACTGTCGTCTACATGGGAGTCCAGCGACATAGTCATTATGCCATCTGCTGGTCCCATTATGCTGCCATTTAAAGAGCCAAGCAAATATGATCTTCACGTGGACCTGTCCGCTTCTCTGTGCTCCATAGTCTTGGTCCCTTGAGTTCACCAGGTTATTTTGGAGACATGTAGAGAAGAAAGATGGATCCTTGAGAGTGAACTCCTCACTAGTACCAGAAAGTCCAACTCAGCTTTCATAAAAATCCATCAGTAGGGTCTGGTAGATAGTGTGGTGGGTAAGGGCTCTGGACTCCCACATGACTGACTGGTTCGAACCCCAGACCTGGTGACTTGCTTCCTCACTTTCCCTATCTCTTTCTCTCTTTCTCTCCCTTCCTCTCCCTCTCTAGTCAAATTAAAAAATAAATAAATAAATAAATAAAGTTAAATAAAACAGTTCTTTAAAAAAAAATCAGTAAATCTTGTCAGTAGCCTCTTGACACGTGATGGAAAAGAATGTTGTGTGACATTTATTCCCTTAGTATTTGTCTGGATAGTGAGCAGACTAACTATTTTAAACTCTTGAATCAAACTCTAATGAATTCTATGTGTGTATTTTTCATTATTCATCCAGAAATGGCAAAATGCTGACCTGAATGGCAAATTTAAACTTCCAACAAAGAATGAATTTATTCCTACAAATTTTGAAATTTTATCATTAGAAAAAGAGGCAACACCATACCCTGCTCTTATTAAGGTAACATTTTAGAGTTTATAGTTTTAGATTTGGGGAACAGGACTGTTACACAGGGGACTAGACAGATGATATTTTTGCTCTTGATACTGTGTTAATTTGGGGGGTTGGAGGGTGGGGGGCAGACTCATGTCCTAGAAGATGACAGAAACACTGTTGAAAGAATAATTACAAGAGACACTAGAAGGTTGAAAGTGTTAAAGCAAGCAGTCAAACTACTGCGTGGCATAGAACCTAGGAAATCGCTTTCTTTGCAGGGGGAAATAAGTAAGCCTTAACTGTACCTGCAAGTCTGTTGAAAGGCAGTGGCCTCTTTTCCAGACCCACTGAAGACCTAGTAAGGAAGTAGGTTTATGCTGCAGCATGAAAGTCAGAGATAAGAAAGAATCCCTAAAGCCTAGAAAAGAGCTTGTTCAAGGGACGCTGTTAGATTTCTTGCCTTCAAAAGAATTCTCATTATGATGAGGTGGCTCTATGAAGCGCATAGATTTTTAAGCCATGGGGAGAGTGGCTGAGAAGTGCTGCTGCTTTTTCTTTCTCTTCCTCAGAATGTTCTTTTCATATCAGTATTTCACACCCTTGAGTGAAGTATGTAGAAAAATGGATCCAATTAGAGCACATTCTCTTTTCTGGATTTACTAACTCCACTCTCAAGACTGGCACGCATCTTTCTTTTTATCTTCTTCAAATGACGTAACATTCAGGCCACGTCAGTGAAATGAGAATTAGTGTTTAAGGACATGAAATTTCACTCATCTCAAGCAGCTACATTACTAATAAGGCACCATTTTTCTTTTAAAATAGCATTTTAGTGAGTTATATATTAGGTCACAGAAAGAGAAGGCCTCTTTCACTATTTTTTCATTTGTTTATTTTAAATAGGCCTTCTCAGAATAAACTAAGGAGAGGGAACGTTAAACCATGTAACATCCAAGAGACCGTTTCAGGCCATTCTTAGTGTAGCGTGAGTGAAGAAGAGTCAGGGTCGCGGCCTGTTTGTTCGTCGTTGGCTCTGTTACCTGCCTATTGCTATGTCACAAGTTACTCCAGAATTTAGCAGCTTGAAGCCACAGTTCTTGATTACCTCTCCCAATGTCTGAGGGCAGTAATCCAGGAGGGGCACAGTGAGTAGTCCTGGCTCAGGGTCTCTCAGGTTATGGTGAAGCCATTGGCTGGGCTTTGGTCATCAGAAGACTCAGCTAGGGCTGGCACGTTGTCTTCCGGTCAACTCTGTGGTTGTGGCAGTCCTTCGTTCTGTGCCGCTTGGACCTCGCCCTAGAGTCGCTTGACGTGGCAGCTAGGCTCCCACAAAGTGAGCAATGAAAATGGACGCCACGGCTCTTTTGTGATCTGACCTCGGAGGTATCATGTCACCACTTCTGTCATACTCTCTTGGACTAATCCTTGTCTTTTGTGAGAGTGGGGCTACACAAGGACATAAGTCTCGAGTCAGGGGTCAGTGCTGGTCACCCTGGGGACTGGCTGCCACACACCCAGCAGGGCTCCCGTATTTGTCTCGTAAGATGAGGACAGGACGGTTGGTACTGGCTTCCCTCATCTGTCTCTTCCTCCGCTAGGCCCCACTCCCTTATCCAGGGGACAGAAAAGGCTGCTTTCTCTTTGCTGTGAGAGCCTGCGTCCTCTCCAGCTCCTTGCTGCTGACCATCTGTGTGTGCT